TATATATTATAGCGTCTCTTATACGAGCCTATAAGTATACCCATGGAACCTCCAACGGCTACTTAAATGGCAACATACCGCACATTCTTGCGCTGTGACACGATAATAAATAGTAATACGGTTAATGATTACACTGCGCGCGACAACCTATAAAATCTTTCTCCGTATGCTACTTTTATATATTTATTAGCACAAGGATTACAGCGGAAAGACTACGATTCGAATATGGTAAATCGATATTGTAATACCGCGCGAAGATGGAACGTAACCAGCCCGATGTGGAGATAAGAATAATATTTGCGCAAGATAATCGCGTTAGAACGGTATACCGGTGCAAATTCGACGAACGTTAGTCTCTCTGTTTGCGAAAATCTCTGCGGATCCCGGAATGTAATGGCGTGGATAATTGCGAAGTTTTAAAAGTGCACCCGCCGGCATTCACTGCGCTCTCTGAAGCTGCATGCTACGTCCCACCCCACTGGTCGTTAATCCTTCATTTCTGTGGATAAAAAACCGGAAAATCGAAATTACGCGAGTATAAAAGCGAACAGAAAACAATATACTCCCCGACGTAAATTAAGAAACAGTATCCGTGTGATGGCTCTTTAATGACGATATTACGCCCACGGATATCATGGCCATACGCGATAAAGGGTTAATTGACGTACCGATATGAAGATGACGACGTGTCACTATAAGTCAACTGTTTTGATGTATTCCGGTAAATATCTCCGGACGATACGCATCGATTATTATCTTTTACAACGCGTCTGCTCTTAATCATTTCCAGGCAGGTAATTTACACATTTACCGACCCTCGTATTACTGCCGTCTGGTGTTTCCCTCTCGTTTCGTCATGATTTGATAACGTTGTTAAATTTACCCTTTCCTTTCTTGCCTCTCTCCTACCGTTAAATCATGCGTTATCTCCTTGTACTATCTCCGCCGTCGTGAAGTACAATACATGCGCTCATAATGAGGTAATTACGATATTTCTGTGACGGAAACGAGGGACTTGCCGTTCACGTTTATACTTATCGAGGTCCTGTGAGAAGAACAGAAATTCTATAGAAAAAAGAAATTCTATTAAAAAAATATTTCGACAGCTAATTTGCAGAATAGAATATATAATTTGCAGAAGTATATTGCAGTAATGTCAAATTTTTCAAAAGGAAATAATAAGAGAGGAAATAATAAATATCCGTATAATTACGTTTAATCCATCATGATTTTGAAAATCCTGCTATTCATTAAAGTATCGATTAATAAATTGCTCGTGAAAACAATGCAAACTCGATAATTCGAGTTGATTTTATTACTTATCTACTTACTTGCTAAGAAAACAAACTAAATAAAAAGACAAATAAAAAGTACTGCGCCAAAGTTCAAGATAAAATCAAGAGGACAATACTTTTTTTTATCTCCGTATATTTATATATTCATGAAAAGTTCACTCTAAGAACAGTGCGGGCCTGATAAGTTTATTTTCCACACTTTATAGATATGTTCCGACTAGCAATTGTTTGCATAAGAAAATAAAATTTTTCTATCTATACGTATTTTTTTTCTTTTTAGTTTTGCTAAAATGATTTATATTCCTATTATATCCTGTACTCCCTCGAGATGTATCATTCGACGAGGCACATTATTTACATCAGACGAGTACATTATTTACATCAGATGCGTTAATATCAACTTGATCGCCATGCATAACACGATGGATATTTTTCTATTTTTATTTTCCGTGTGATCTTTTTATGCCGAGGCCTTCGAAAGGTTTCTCCACGGTATGCCGAGTGCGGCGATATAATACACGGAAAGAAAAGTGGCATGTCAGGACAGATACTCGCAACAACTCAATCAATCTGGTCCCACGATTCTTTGCCGTTTATTCGCGTACTCCATTCTCATGCCCTCTTACCTTGGTTGACCGTAAAGTGACCTTTCCGCTGCAGCGTGCGCAGCATCGAGTTTTGCAATAGGTGCAGATGTGACCGATACCGTCGGCAAACTTGGTTTTCAGGCATATGTGACATGTGGCGTTAAGTTCAACCCCGGCCTTTTTGTGTTTCTCCGAACGCATCCGTATTGTTTCTTCGAGAGTCTGCACCTCATCTTGCTTTCGTCTGCAAATAAAAAAGCAAATTGTTAAGAAGAAACGAAACTTAGGAGAGCTGAGCGTGTCTTTTATAATCTTTTTTTTTTGCACATTTTTGTTTCATTTTTTTTTAGACTCAAATGGCGACGAGTCAGTTGTTAAGAAATTGGAAACTGATAATTTTTATAGCACCTACGATTAATTATAGAGAAGTATGATCATGGATGAAAGAAAACTAAATGAATATATTCTATTTCAAGAAAAAAGAAAATAAGATAAAAAGAATGTATCCTATTTCTATCACTTCTATAATATGTTTTTAAACAGATTTAATGTTTAATTAATAGTCTAACAGTCCAAGGCTTGACAGTCCAAGGCTTACAGTTCATTAGATTCCATGTAGAATTACTTCTGACAACGTCGTATAAGAAGAACGATGGTTATAATCAGTGTCTACAGGATAAACGATGGAAAATTAACAATACGTCAACCGTCGTATTCAGTGTCCAACTGAATTCATACCAGTAAAGCTAAGAAAATTACTACTTTTGATATGAAAGTCACATCCCGAGGATGGCAGCTAAATTTGTCAATCCTAATTCCACCATTTGTGGATTCCGCCGTTCTACCAAACTTTAAGATAACGGATTGCTCCTAGACTTATTTCTACTTCGTAAATCGCGTCTTGAAAGCGTCTCCGACCGAGCGGTCGCAATCTCTCCCTGAAAATGCGATGTGACGACGGTCGACGTCACTCTCGTCTTCGTCGCCATTACTGCGATTCTATTCTTGCTCCTCCATTAAGCCAATTTAGAACTGTGTGTGTCCTGCACACGCTCAAAATTAAGCCAACGATTCTGTCAAAGTGCAAGATTTATCGTCGATATCGTCGCAATATTATCTATAATATTCTTACAAAGATTCGGATCAAATGTCGGTTAAATCAAATATTTAATTTCAATTAAAGAAATTCTTTTCTCTATTTTTAAAATTTGTTCAAGAAAAGAATACAAACTGCTAGAAATTTAAATAACAAATACTTTGTAATACTTTTTAAAGGGCGTAAATCTTTGTTTATTTTTTCTTTCTGTATATATATCATAATTAGAATAATAAATTAATGAATAAAGAAAGAAGTAGCAAATTATTAAAACCAAACCACTTATCGAATCAAATCAAGAAAATTTACATTGTTGTTGCAATGGTCTCTCAATCGCTTTTATATAAAAGCGTGGTAAGAGTATTTATTTATCAACTTTCCATTTGAACGCAACGCACGTCACGTTGCCGGAGGAAAAAAAAATGAAATTTATAAGCTTTAGTTGACAGTTATTGCAGCGCAATCGTTCGTTGAAAAACACGAAGTTACATTTAAGGTCACATTTATTTCGTACCTGTCCAACCATAATCGCATCTTTTGTTCTTTATGTCCATCTGACGACTAATTACGCGAAGAGCTCTCGCAAAATGCAAGTGAAATTAATGAACCATGAAGAGATGAAATAAACATCGCCTGTATAATGGATGCGACATCAGTACGTTTTAAATATATCACAAGCCGCAGTCGGATAAACAGAACTGTTTCTCTATTCATTAGAGAATCAGTATGATCTTTTTCCCTGTTTGTACATCCATTCCCTTTTCAAAAAGAGAAAGAGAGATAAAAAAAGAAAAAAACTAAGCGAGAGTCTTTAATTATGGACTTTTGTTTACGTCACGTAAATATAAAATAAAGCCGTTAAAATTATTAAATCTTTATT